AGAGCTTGTGCGACGGTTCCGTATTAATTGTCAATTATCTTTTTTCTTTTTATTTGAGCAATCTCGAAGCCCATTCAAGAAAGCTACCCTTACCTGATTTCCCCACCAACCCCAATTTCAAATCATATACCGATCGCGAGTAAATCGTTTTTCCATTCGATTTTAAATTTTTCACTCCCTCCCCCCCACCCGCCGCCCCTATGAAGTCCGTTCTACCCCCTCTCTCTTCTATTGCTACTACTTTGTCCGATTTTTCCAGAGTTATTCACAGCCTGTATTGGTAAAGTTTTTTTTCCCCTTCTATTAGTTTGTCATAGACTTCTTTTCTTATATATTTTTTTTTTCTTTCATTTCTCTTTCTTTCACCTCTCTGTCTTTTTTGCTTGCTCTTACTTTGTCCAGCCTCCGAAAGTCCCGATGGACCACTCTCGTTGGATAATTAACCCCTCCCCTCCCGTCTGTGTTTATCACGAAAAGCTTTTATTTCCCATTTACAGTAAAACATGATTGTTCGGTTGTATTTGTATTCTCTCGCGAAACCCCCTCTTTCCCCCCTCCCCCCATCATTGTCACCACCCTTTATTTTTTTTATTTGTGTAAATAGACTTGTCTAACATTACTTTGTTTGTTGGCCCTGTATTCAATTTTGTACAAAGGTTATCCATCCTCAAAGACCGGAGTGTGATAGGCACTATTTATATTTTCCATTATCTTTTTTTTTATTATTATTATTATTATTTTTCATTCTCGTTTACGCAGCCGTAAAAAAGATCCCTGACGTTAAAAGGTGATTCGCCGAAGAAAAGTGAAACCATGGTCCAAAATGACTTGTCCTCTTGTCGTGATCGGTAATTAGCGCTTTTTATTGTTACCGATTGTTGTTGCTGTGATTGTTGTTGTTATTGTTTACGGTGTATCGGTCGGTTATCAGCCGTGAAACAAAAAAAAAGATCGTAATATTCGGATGCACGACAGCGAACTGATGGGACACTTGGCTATCCTACTTTAGGACGTACGATGCCCTAATACTGGTACGGGGAATTTCCAGAAAATCAAAAAAGATAGAATATATCCTGGAGTGGGATATTAATCATTCGTCATTCACCCTTCGCCTGATCGTCTTTCGCTACGAGAAAAAAAAATCTGATTTCATTTCGAAATGAAAAGAAAAAATAATAATACCACGTTCGATCGTGAAAAATCACGAAATGGCATTAAAAAAAGAGAAAAAGAAAAACTCCCGGGTCCAAATGAAAAAAAAATGTCATTGCAATTATTCGAGTATTGGAAAGAAATATTTTTCAACCTCCCCTCCCCCCAATTCCCCCTCTACCACCGTCAGACACTCGTCATTTTTCTTTGAGGGCAGCTACGCCCCCCCCCCCCC